TAAACTTCAGAAAATATTATAACATAGAGAGACTATTGGCATGACTTTGAAACCAGAAGCTCAAGCGACCTTCGTATTCGGATGAACCCATCGTTGCCAACGTACTTAGGCGATTTCGGATATTCTTATCAATAATTTTCGTGCGCTTGGGCGCAGTATTTGGTGTTTCTCCATGACGAGTCCATAATTTTTAATAGTTAAATAAAATTATTGTATAGATTAAATATTTAAAAGTAAAAACTTTTTCTGAAAAAATAAAGAAACTGAACAAAAAACTATACAATACTTTGTAGTGTACAAAATATTTATAAAGTGACTGTAGAAATTTGCTTGTACATGTAAATGCACACACAAAACCTGTTTTGGAACAATCAAATGTTTAATCATTATTAACTGGTTGTTTATAATATATATTATTGTTTGTAAAAGAGCTGTGATTTCATAAAGAAGGTTTAGGTTAATTTGTACGAGTGAGTTGTGAGTTGCTTAACCTTAGAAATCAACGGGGAAGCATTGAAAGAAGATTTCGATATAAAAGTGTATCGATTGTCTCTGGTTTAACATTTTACATTTGACACAGACATAAATTTTCATCATTTCGGTGAACATGAAATCGTAATTGCGTGTGTTCCTAATGTTTCTTTTAATTATTTGTTGTGTGTTTTTTATGAATGGAAAATCATGCTCGAGTGATGTGAGATTCAAGAATACGTGATCAACGTATTCAGTGAGATCCGTGTGAGTGTAACTGTTTTTGATGTAATTAGCTCAACAAGTGATATTAGAACACTCATTTCCTCGAGAATGTCCAACACCAAGATGAGACATAAAGAAACACTTATGGCAGAGACTTTTTGACACTAAAAGAAATAACATCAATTAACAACTACATTAAGGAATAAGTTTGTCAAAAGTTGCAACGGTTACACGACTCATGCAAAAGATTTCAGTACTAGAAGAGAAAAAAAGATCAAAGCAACGGTATTGTAGTTTGTGTATGAAATGACCAAAGTGTGTTGTTCGTGTATAAATTTGTACTATTACATAGTTTTTTTTCTCTATTATAAGTTGATAACTAGGGTTACAACTTACAACTACAGGTCATAGTTTAACATTTGTTCCAAAGAAATCTCTTTCCATTCCGATACAAACGCATAGGAAAATTTATAGGTTTCCTATTACCGATCCAATACGCGATAACCAATTGCCAACATGATCTCAAGATCGACATATCACATACAAGAAGAGTTCATATATAATTCAAACAAACCAGAGATGTTTACCATGACTAACTTTCGACTCACGAATCACAAATCTTCGATGAAACTTACACACACATATAAATGTATCTAATATTATCATATATAATAGAAGTGTTTAGTCACACATAAGTACCTAACAAAAACTCTTTTTCTAAAACTAAGTACTCTTTCTTTTTAACAAAAACTTCTTTTTTTAAATGGATATGTACTTTGTCTATTATAAAAATTTCGTCTCATATTAATGTTTTTATGACGTACCATTTCAACTAAATAACCGACAAGATAAAATTAGATGACAAACATAAAGTTAGCTTTCTATTTATTTTGCCAACGGCTAAGTCTTAATACTACCAAACAATACTCCATGGCCAAACAAAGCAAATATCTGAGGACTCGTCCTCAAAAAGTTAGTTAATGGGGTCCATTTCATATAACTAGGCCCGTTATTCAATCATCAGGCCCAACAATTCAATACTCATAATACTATTTTAACCAACCTCATAAACCAAACCGGTTCTCAATTCGATTTCGGTTAAGAAAATTCATACCAATCGATCGCATGCACTGTCACACATAATAAATAGGGACTGAAACTCTGCATTTGTTCTTATGTATCAACTGCATGTGCGCTTGCAGTGCTTTTATTTCTCTTCATTGACAAAATTAAATACATTTTTTTTGGAAAATTTGTTATAGTACCTAATATTTATTTTAATGCTTAAAGTTTTATTTTTCTATTTTTTTATACTAATTAAAAAAATAGGTATTTTACGCTGGAAAATGTGTTTGTCCCGTCCCTACATCACAAGCACCATCCATACATCACACATGCATTCCATGTTATTAAGAAGTTGTCATTTAATATAAATCGTAATCGCAAATCATTTATATGTATTTTTTCAAGAATATTTTGCCTCTTTATATTCCACCTCCATACTTATTATGATGATTCATATCTTTCTACACTTGAATGCGTTATGTGATATATTATATAGTAAAAAGAATACCAAATCTATAATAGTATTTTATAAAGTATACATCTTCCAATTTGTGGCCGTCGAATTTTCGTATTACATAATTACATTGAAATTTATTTTCGGATTTGCAACTTGTACTAAAATATTATGACTACGAGTGATAATTTAATGAAGTGATGAAATTGTAGAAAAATATAAAATAGTGGAATGTAATGAAATTTTTGGAGTGAAATTTAATTTTCTTTCCAATCGAAAAATACATACACTATTGATCGAATCTAACTTGGTAAACAAAACAATATTAATTTTTAACGATAAAAAATAGTCGTAAAAGATAGAGAAATTCCTAAAAATGGCCCTAAAACAAGTTTTATTGACAATAATAGCACACACTCCATAAACTTCCAAAAATAGCACTAGTTAACTAACTTACTATTAGTGTTTTTGTTCTAAAAATTTTATCACTAGCTTTTTTTTTCAATAATACCACAACTTTTATATAAAAACTATTCAACAAAATAAATTAGAAATAAATTTAAAATATTATATTTGGGTTCTCTATTTCCAATTTAGGATATATATTTCTACCATTTAAAAGAGATTTTGATTCATTTTAATATTAGTTTATGGTATTATATTTGGGTTCCCTATTTCCAATTTAGGGTATATATTTTCACCATTTAAAAGAGATTTTTATTTTAATATTAGTTTGTGGTATTATATTTGGGTTCCTATTTCCAAATTAGGGTATATATTTCCACTATTTAAAACAATTTTGATTCAATTTAATATTAGATTAGTGTTTGCTCTCTTTTTTATTTTCTATCTTATATTTTCATTAAGTTTAATTGAAGTTTATGGTGCTATTTGTGGAACTTTTCAAATGAGGTGCTATTTTTGGAAAAAACAATTTTTTGGGGGCTATTTGTGTCAATCTCCCTAAAAGATAACAATACAAAATAAAAACAGTGTGACTACAAATAACGGTACAATACAATAATAGTATCACTTTTTCATACCATATCTTCTTACTTAAGATGTGGTAAAATATTTCTATCAAAGCTATATTTTTACAGTTTTGTTTATGGTTAAGAACTTAAGATGTTCACAAAGACTTTTCAATTTCAGTGGTTAGATGTAAAACAAAAACCTTTCAGTTTCAATCACTATGATTGATTAACAACAGCCTGTTTAACACAAGTTTATTATTAGAATTTTTATATAAAAAACACAAGTTTATTGTATCTAACGTAAATCCTAAACTTTCCACAAAGTGAAATTTCACACTTGTACAAATTATCATTCAAAATTCCTACCTATATAAATAAATAGATATAGCACAACATTGACAAAAGAGAAGAAATTAAAGTAGTCTCGTGTCTCTTCTTCTTCCTTTTCTTCCGGCCTCGTGAAAACCAAATTGATTTCATCTTTTTACTTGTTGACATATACATATACATACACATGTTCACATAAATAGATATAGTTGTATATGACTTGTGTCTATCATCCAAAAATCATCATTATCTTATATACCAAATTCGTATACAAATATCTCTTAATCTCCTTTTACCACCTACGATAATGACATATATTAACGTACAATTAATTTCATCTAAACACTTTTAATGTGGTTGTATGACTTGTGTCTATCAAATCCAAAAAATCTTCATTATCCTATATACCAAATTCTCATACAAATATCTCTATATTTCTTTTCACCACCTACGATAACGACATATGTAACGTACAATTAATTTCATCTAAAACTATGTTTACCAAAAACTCAAAATGTGGTCCATTAACACTAATCGCGAACCTTACCCGAATAAAACGTTCAACATCATATATTCATATATGTTTATGTAACCTAATACATATAAATCTATATGTATAGAGAAGTCGCTAACATCATGAATGACGTAGACCATCATGTAGTTTGACAATGGCCAAAGACCCACTGGTTCAATCCAAAACAGCAATTTTTTCTTTTCTTCTCTATCTTCAAATATAAATAATTCGTTTTGATATAAAAACCAAAACAGCAAATCATGACGCAGAGAAAATCTCGTTCGTCAAAAGACCCTTTCATGAATTTCTATTATTAACAAAGCCTATGCATTACACATAAATGCAATAGCCACTATTCAATTCTTAAAATTATCGTAGCAATAAATCAAAAGTGAGAGAGGGAGATATCATATCATATATCATTATCATGTTATCATGCATGTCGTCCCCATTATTCTTTAATTTTTTTTAATAACATAACCAATAAATTATTAAACCTAATAATAATATACTTTTTTGTGTTATTAGGGTTTTTGAAAGAAGCAAGCCCACATTGAATGCCACGCGGTTTTGTATGGAGGGCAGAGACTTTTCCTTTTGCCACACAGCTGACTTTTGAGGCTTTACCTCCACTTTTGTAGTTAATGCATTACACATTTTTTAAAAATATATATTTTTATATTTTTATTTATTAAAATATACAATTCGAGAGACCCAAGAGTCCAAGACCAAGAGGGGTCAGCAAATTTCTCTTTCTCTTTTTATATATATATAGAAGAAGAAGTGGACATAGACCTTTGTCGCCAAGCTTAACCATTAGATCCATTTCAAAGCTAAGCGTACTAATTAGTGTACTAAGGGTAGTGTGACTCATCATTACCATCTTAAGTTGTTTCAATTTTCTTCTATTTTCTTGGCAAAGAGTTATAGTGGGAAATAAAGAGAGGCTAAAAGGAGTGATTAAAGAATTAATTAGTTAAATTAAGGGAAATCAAGATCATCATAATGGTGAGGCCTCCTTGTTGTGACAAAGGAGGAGTGAAGAAAGGGCCATGGACTCCTGAAGAAGATATCATTTTAGTTACTTACATCCAAGAACATGGTCCTGGTAATTGGAGAGCTGTTCCTACCAATACTGGTATGTCTAATCTTCATTCTTCATCTCTCACCTCTCTCTCCCTCTATAGATTTGTATGTTGATATTATTTAGATCAATCATTGAGAGTGAGAGATAGACAAGGAATCAGAATGGTTTGGATTGAAATTTGTATTCTCCAAATGGGTTTTGATTTTCATAGGATTCTTCTTTAGGTCTTTAAGATTGTGGAATTAGCTTAATGAAAAACATATGTTGAAGTTAGGGTTTTGTTTATTGCCCTTAATATTTAAGATCTAATGCATGAGATCTTGTTATTTATATATATTAAGCTTAGATATTTTCTCATTAATTGGTTTTTAATTTTTTATTTGTTCTTGTAAATTTTGCAGGGTTGCTTAGATGCAGCAAGAGTTGTAGACTTAGATGGACAAACTATTTAAGGCCAGGAATCAAAAGAGGCAATTTCACTGAACATGAAGAAAAGATGATTGTTCATCTTCAAGCCCTCTTAGGAAATAGGTAAAAAAACTAATTAATTACCCCTTAATTTCTCAAATTTTGTCGCTCACAACATTTTCGAAATTAGACTATTTTTCTTTTTTAATTGAAGGCATTTAATATTTGGTGTAGATGGGCTGCAATAGCGTCATATCTTCCACAAAGGACAGACAATGACATTAAGAACTATTGGAACACTCATTTGAAGAAGAAACTCAACAAAGTCAATCAAGATTCTCATCAAGAACTTGACCATTCCTCGCTCTCATCTTCACCATCGTCTTCTTCCGCTAATTCCAACTCAAACATCTCAAGAGGCCAATGGGAAAGGCGACTTCAAACCGATATCCACTTGGCGAAAAAGGCTCTCTCTGAGGCTTTATCTCCTGCTGTTGCACCAATCATAACATCTACAGTGACAACAACATCCTCTTCAGCTGAATCAAGACGCTCTACTTCCTCGGCTTCCAGGTTTCTTAGGACGCAAGAAACATCTACAACTTATGCCTCAAGCACCGAAAATATTGCGAAATTGCTCAAAGGGTGGGTGAAAAACTCGCCAAAGACTCAAAACTCCGCGGGTCAAGTCGCTTCTACAAACTCTGAGGTAAAGGATGTGATCAAGAGTGATGATGGGAAGGATTGTGCAGGGGCATTTCAGTCATTTTCTGAGTTTGATCACTCATATCAACAGGCTGGTGTTTCACCTGATCATGAGACCAAACCAGACATAACTGGATGCTGCAGTAACCAAAGTCAATGGTCTTTGTTTGAGAAGTGGTTGTTTGAGGATTCTGGTGGACAGATTGGTGATATTCTATTGGATGAAAACACTAATTTCTTCTGAAGAGTTTGCTTAATCACACGGTTCTAATTTTAGGATCCTCATCTCTACTATTTTTTTTTTGGTTTTTCCAAATTAACTTGCTTAGATTATCGTGAGATAAATCATTAATAATTTTATTTATTTTCCCTCGTTGATTACAATTAATGATGGGGTTGTTTTATATATGGCCCTGGGAATTCTGAAGGGCCTGAAATATGTCCACCCAATGATTTTAGTATTGGTGTAAAATCCTATGTCTATTTTTTATTTATTAAAATGTTACTATTGTTTAATTTTTTTCTGCTTTAAACTTGTAAGTATATGTTATACTTTTGAGATGCTAACATAAAAATAATTAATTATCTGTTACAAATTAAACTTAAACGTATATAAAAATTGACAAAAGAAATTACACATATTGGAATGTCCAAGAAAATCCAACTTAGCCATTTGTTTGTTTCTGAAAATGGTTAATATCAGGATTAATTAGTCCTATGTGTAGTGGGTGTGTGTTATAGAAAAATAATTAATACTTCAACTTGCCCTTAATTTTCAATTTATTTTCCTTAAATTAACCGTTAACTCACTAAGAAAAACACTAACATTTATTTTAGAGTGTCAAATGGCGCCGCTCAATAAAAGAAATCTTAGATTTAAAGATAGCCTTACTATTGGTGAATTTGAAAGACCTACTAATAAAGAAAATAGTACTGGTAAAGAAAATTAAACGAAATATTTATTGCATGAAATAAATAGGGCCGACAAGGTTTAAAGAAACTAATTATAAAAAGATTAAATATAAATTTTAAAAACGGGATGGATTGGCACTATAAATATTGAAAGTGATGAAGAATTAAAGTTTGACTTTCTTTCTTGTGACCTTTTTTTCTTGTGACCTTGTTAGTTGTGACTTACTAGGTATGAAGAAGTCAATATCGCCATTAATTTTAGCTTCTCCTTTGATTTTAAGATATTGCCACTTGTTATGCGATGGTAACAAAGGAAAAATATGCTAAAACTGAACCGGAGACATATATTTTATAGAACTGAAAACGTAAGTACATATATTTCCTATGTTTCACAAAAAATATCATTTTGATACATTTCATATAAATTAAGAAAAATTTAAATTATACATTTATACCTCTATTTAATAAATGATTAGTGATTTTAATATATTGCCATTTGTTATGCGATGGTAACAAAGGAAAAACATGCTAAAACTGAACCGGAGACATATATTTTATAGAACTGAAAACGTAAGTACATATATTTCCTATGTTTCACAAAAAATATCTTGATACATTTCATATAAATTAAGAAAAATTGAAATTATATATACATACCTCTATTTAATAAGTGATTAATGATTTAAATTCAATGAAAAGTAGTTTTGGATTAAAGATAAATTAAGAAACTTAGTGTAAAAATCACATTGAAAATGTAAAATGACATTTTTTGTTAAACAAAAAAAAACTCTAAAATGACACTCTTTATGAAACATAGATAATATTTTAAGTAGAATTTTAAAGTTTTAGAAATGAACAATGGATTAACCGTCAAATTGACATAAGTTTCACTAAATACTTAAAAGATATCGATAGGAATTTCTTCTGCGTTTTTATAATATAAATGGATCTAAGAACTATTAAATGAATTAAATGTATATATCGGCTTTGACTATAAAATAAATTATATAATTTTTTTGTGAAAACGTACTTAAAATTTTATAGTGAAAATAATTTTTAAGAAAAAATTATTTGACTTTATCTATTTTTTTTTCAATGAATTCATCTTTATTTATATAGAAATGATGGAAACATAAGTTTAGCAAAATGAATATCAGAAGCAAAAAGATGTTAAGAAAAAAAAAAAAAAGCAAAAAAAATTGACGTATAGTAAAATTGCATTGGCATCTCGCATATAAAAAAACCACAAAAAATCAGCTAATACATTGGATATGTCCACGAGTTAATAACTCGAGCACTCGACTCTTGATAACATCTACAAGAAAAAAATTGCATGCGTGTTTGGAAACATCTGAGATTGTCAGTGTTAATTACCGAATGGTTAATATGTCTGATTCACGCAAAAGCAAGTTAAAAGATAACCAAGTTCGGTCTTATATATGAAAGTTAAGTGAACTAAACTTAATATGTGGAGATGGCTTACTCCTGAGATCAATCGAACGGCTTGATCAGTGATCACACAAGTTGATCATTGGAAAAAAGCATATTATCTTCTATTGTTCCAGATCTTTGTTTGCGAGAAGTAACACTTCAGATATAAACAATGACAAATGGAGTAAAACGTAACAAAAGACAATCAAATTTAATAGAATGTAAATAAATATTTTATATATATTTCATTGTTATTATGATATATACTGTATCACCTATAATATGTAGAAACACTAAAACTAAAATGAAAGTAATATCTACTATACATTTTTGCAGCAGTTTTAAGGGATCCTAATCGGTTCGATTTTGTTTCAATTTTGACCCGGAAATCTTCAATCGAATCTTTCCTTAAATTGTGGCAAATTTTAAAAATGAAATTAATTAATAAAATCTAAAATATATATATTTTTTCAACTAATTACTATATCTAAACTCTTTAGTTATGGTATATTTTTTACGATTTTTATAGATAAGGAAATCAAATATGATGATTTAATGCTAATATAACAAATTTGAGCTAATTTCCTAAAATTTCTCTAACTAATTTAAACATAAATATATGATTCTCATTTCACTTTGATTTGATCTTATATTTATATTATTTTAAATTATTATAAAATATATATAGTTAATAAATTTTAGTTTTTTTTTCTGCATATGTTATGATTCAAATTTTTTAAAACGGACATATATTACTCAATCGATGAAGAAAAAAAGTATGTGTGTAATCTATAATAACATTTTTGAAGAACAAATTGCGCGTTTAATTAGGTCGTTTTTTTTATTCTGATCCGAAATTGAGTCATTTGGATCTTTCCTTAATTTCTACAATTATCTAAAACGGGACAGTATACCATGGGTAAAATCCTAAACTTAACAAATCAAAATAAAATTATTTAGTATTTTAAGATACAATTATAAATTATTTTTACGGGTTGGTCCAAAAACACACACTAATTAAAAACATTATATATTATAGAAACTATTTGAAAGCAAACTTTTAAATTGACTCGAACTAGTGTATATGTCTTTTAAATAAAAGTGTTATTAAAAAAATATCAAAATAATGTTTAATTTCACAGGACGGGATTATATGGTAGGACGGGTTTGGGTCGATATTAATACGGGACAATATATCACGGGTGAAATCTTAGAATTAACAAATCAAAATACAATTATACAATCTTAAACACTAAACCAAACAAATACAACTTAAAATTTTAATTTTTTAGATAAAACGCATGTGACCACAACAAAAAATATTATACACAACAAATTCATCAGTTTATAAAAAATTAAAAAATTCAAATAATTAACCCGCGGTGTACCGCGGGTAATATCCTAGTGTTCTACTAAAAATTTTAGTAAGAGAAATTTTTTTACTGAATCACTAATTTCAATTTTTGAGTTGATAAAACAGGAAAAAATGTTTAATTTATTTCCTTTAAAGATATTTAATTTAAAGAATATAATTTAATTTTATGTTTTTATATAGATCTAAATTTAAATTTGTAATTAGAATTTAGCCAAAATTTAGGAAAAAACAAGTTAAATATTTAAAAACCAAGAGTACCGTAACACCCATCTCCGAACGAGTAATATATGTAATTACGACCATCATATAACCCCCACATTTTAAGATATGAATTTTATACATATAAATAATAAATAAATCCATGACTCGTAGATAGTGATATATTTCAAGTATTTTTTGAAAAATAATTAGATAATAAATTATTGACTAAAACAATTTTTTACATTACAACAAAATAAGTTAGTAAATTTACTTGTTGAATTATTTTATGTAAATTATGACAAAAAAATTTATAAAACTTCTTTAAAATATCACTAAAATCTTAAACTTATTAGCACAATTGGTATAAGACATCAATATTAGGAACCAAAAGTTTATTTATTTATTTCGCGTATCCGATACCAATAGGTACGGGACTGGTAACAAGTCTTCCAACAATCTCAGATAACTTGCCCATTCTTAAGTAGTGTCTGGTTTTACACCTAATAATATATTAATATTTTATATCATGTAATTTAATCTAGGGATTATTGTTGATTTTGCCATTTTTCATAGAAATCTTTTGAAATTGCCATTTTTACTAAAATCTTACGGATATGTCATTTTCTAACACTTAAAAATGTACGTATTTCAGATTTTTTTTGGTAAAAATACGTAGTTTATACAAAATACTAAACCCTAAGAACAACCACAACAGACTAAACCCAAACATAACGAATTAAACGCATGTTAAATCATATTTCCGTAGCCTGAAAAAGGGCAAAATCCATAAACTATTCAAAAAATGGCAAAATCCACAAATGCCATCCCAAAAAATGGCAAATCCATAATTGATTCTTTAATCTATATATTTGTTTACCCTGGATTAATTTTACATTATGATAATTGTGAAATTTGAACTAAGAAACATATTTCCTCCCAAGCTTTAAAGACAAAAATTAAACTTAATAAAAGAAATTATCTTGGATCATTATAAGTTGGCAAAATAAAATTCACAACCATATAGTGATATAGATATATATATATATATATATATATATATATGGTGAGCTTGGTTTTGGGCCCATGCTATTAAGACGAATAGCATAGAAAAAGGTTGAAAAGAAGCTGAAGAATCATGTGCGATTCATGTCTCAAAGCCCACACAACCTCTGACTTCTATTTATTGAAAGGTTTTCTTTTTAGTCTTTTTTTTTGGGTTGAGACGTTAATGATTTCATTTGAGCTGCTAAAAGAATGCTTACATTAGATAAGAGAGTTTTAAGTTTTAAATTTAAGCCTGAATATGTTATTGTCCATCGGAGAGGAGATACATATTTACACATGAGTTGTTCAAGAGTATATATATCACTGAATATGTAAATATCTTTTACAAGTTAGAGTATATAGCTGAATGGCATTACAAAATAAATACCGAACTTGTAATGAAAGGCATCAAGCATTTCATATGCTTGTTAGAAACTGAATTTGCGCCAAGAGCAATCATGTTATCACAATAATGACGAATAGATCAGGAATACCTATTTTTGATGCGTCACCCATTTTTTTCTTCTCAAAATCAAAAGTCGAAAACCTAACTTTCGATTTGCCTCTCTGGTATTCATCGCTCTTCATTGGTGACCAAAAAAAGCTCTCTTTCGCTCATTTGGCCAGATCTACTCTCATTGGTACATGCATATGCGGGTTTCGAAGTATTGATTATATAAGATTGGAATCCGCCTAATCTTATTGATCACAAGATGTCAAGAGTTGACAAGCTTTCATGCGGAAATGGGTGTTGGTAGAGATGGAGATGGAATTTACGATTGATTCCACAATCACACACGAACAAGAAGGCTTTATTCAACAAGCAGTCTGATCCGCAAATTAGTAGAAAACAAGTGATTCCACACTTAGATTCTAAAGACAATAACAAGAACAATTCAAAGACACACTTTGAAAAAAAACAAACTGATATATCATGGATTTTACCGTTTTTAGCCATGATATATGTATTGTTTTTAGAGTCTTTTTGTTATTTTTAGAGTCTTTTCTAGTCTTTTTCAGGTTTATACATGTTCGGGACCAATTTGGAGATTATGGATCATTCTGGAGCAAAACCGAGAAGTTATGCTACGAGAGCAATCCGGAGACCAAAATTCGTGTAAGTGTCGATCGACACCACCCCTGGTATCGGTCGACACCAATATCTGACGGCAATTCAATTTTTGCATCTCTTTCAAGTTTTGGAAAATTGCAGAATCGCCTTAGAAGACTTTCTTATTTGCAAACAAGTCCCTGCTCGTGTTATTAGCTATAAATAGGTTTTTAGGTCATTGTTTAGACCTAAGCTTTATTTTACTTTGTTCTTGGAAGCTTGAACCCTTTGGGAGATAATTGGAGATAGCTCCTCCAGAGAAGATCTTTCTAAACTCTAATCTCTTCTTAATTTCTCTTAATGCAATTCTATTCAATCATGTTGTTTGTTTCAATCTCCATGTTTGAGTAGTTTGCTTGTTAGGTTTAGGGATTCTCATTAGGGATTTAGATGAATTAGTAGATCGATAACTTGAAAGGGTAAAATCTATAGAGTTCTTCACTTTTGATTGTTCTTAATGCTAATTCTAGCTTGATCACCTAGAATTTGATCATAGGATAATAGGTAGATTCGAGAGGTCATCTATTACTGGAACTATCTTAAGTGGGAAGAAATTACTAGACACATTCGAGAGGTGGTGTAGGAATATCTTTGAACATATCAAACCTGTTATTAATGCTAGTCCAATTCTAGGAGTTTACATTCGAGAGGTGGAACTTCCTCATATTAGGTTTAGTTAGTCAATACATTCGAGAGGTGGTTGGCTATAAATTAGTGATTTGAGTTCTAGAACGGTTCGATAATAATCCTGATTAATTTACTAGATCTACTATTTGTTTATTTCCTGAGAAATTTCCTAGGCCTGACGTTTCCCTCATCTGAATTTTCTTCGATTTTAATTACTTGTCTTGCTTTATCTTTACAATCTTTTCTGTTTAGCTTATTTCAAATCTGTTAGTCTATTGTGTGAACACGAGAGCTTTGTTGATTTCGACCCTAAAGTACTGCAATTGATCTCTTATTTGAGAGAGTAGTCTTAGGATTAGTTTGACCCTTATCACAAACTTTTATAAAATCAGTGATAATATGTGCTTTACAATGAAATAGAAACTGAGCTAAAACAAGAGAATCACAAACAATGAAGAATAGAGCCGTTGGAGCTTTGATGACAAATCTGGCCAAATAAGAAAATGTCTTGAGCTTCGTATCTAGAAAACTTTGGGAGGTAGATGCAAGTTCTTAGGAAATTCTGGAAGCAATTGAGAGCCTCTAACTCGTGCCCAAACATAAAGGAAATGAGCCATTGCAATGTGAACACCTTAAGTGAAAATGGCTCCAAATAAGGCAAGTCTTGGGGATGAGGTTTTTTCAAGTTGGGGATGCTATTTAGAAGTCTCTTTCTCTTGAAGAAGGTCTCCATGTCGCGTGAAAACTCAAGAAAAGGAAAGATCTGTTTTGAAAACTCCTTTATTGCTCCTAGTGTGAAAAGAAAAGTGTGAAAAGATCCGCCTGATCCTATGAGTGTTGGTGCATGCGAAGAATTCTTCTAGATGTCTAAGGGTCTCTACTGGTAGCCAATGATAGTTTTGGAGTGAACCAAATATTGAAAGATCCATTTTTGGTAACATATGACTCGTGGATAAGGCCAAATGAGCAGCTCCTAAACACTACAAGAAATATGGGCATTAATAGCACTTTACGATAGCACGGATTTTTCAATTGCTATTAAAGATGGTATTCGAAAATTTGTAACTATATTATAGCATTTCAGAAACGCTAATCCCTATAATGGCAAAGTGAAAAGCTAAAATCACTAATGACCGCGAAAACTTATCAAATATTCACTTCTTTTCGTCTCTTGATTTGAGTTGAGTAATCTCTGTGTTGAAACTTGAAACTTCTAATAAAGGTTAGATTTTGATCAATGATAGTCTCTGTAGTTTGAGTTTAGGAGTCAAATTTTTGTGATAAAATTAGTGGGTTTGCCTAAATATTTGAAATGATTTTACCAGGTGAAGAAATCTAAGTATGTCGAGCAGAACTCGGGATGTTCTAGAAGGTTTGGTTAAAGATAGTTCACTTAAATGGTTGCTTGGATCGAAGACATAGAGAATTCTCCATCTACTGGATCCAATTGGATACCTGAGCTTTCTCCAGTAGCAAATGTAGTTATTCAAAGTAAGAATGTTTCATTTTTAGTTACCTTTAATCCATAGAATTGAATCGGATTTAAAGGGCTTATTTGGAGTTTAGCCCTGTTTGAAAAGGTTCAAGTCTTGAGCAAGATAAGCTAGCTTTTGGTATGCTAATGAAATCATTTATGTTATGGAATGGATTTGGATGCATAAACTAGCACGTGTTCTGCTTTTGTTCAGACATGTGTTCTGCCTTTGTTGATATGTTGATTATTGTGGAAACTCAAAATCTTCAGAAGTTTCTAATTCATGTAATCCATCTAGTCTTTGTTCTTCATGTTAGCTATTCAACTGTAGTGATGGAATACATGGATCTTGTAATGTTTGGCTTTTGTTTAAGCTTTGTTTTAATCTTGAATCTTTTTATGAATAGGGTGCTTGACAACCATCGTTGAATATCTCGACTGTTTTGACGAGTTTCGGATTGTTGCTTAGTGAACCGAATCCGGATGATGGCTTGATATGTGAAGGAGTAAGTCTACTTGCAACACACTTTTTTCTTGTGATTTTGCTTTTGTTTCTTTAAGCTTTGTTTTGGCATTTTTTCAGAGCAGTGAGTATAAATACAATAGACAAACTTTTGATTATAAGGCACGAGAGATGACTGAGAAGTATGCTAAGGTTAAGCGTGATGGATGCAGCACCAGCTTCCAAATTAAGGTGCATAATTACCTATACTTCTATAGTTTTTCACAAAATCTGAGTCTTTAGTGAGCTTTTAGGTAAAGGTTGACTTTGTTTCTTTAGAATCATGGAGATGAGAAGGCTTTTGAAAGTGGAAATAGTTTTTTTCATCTGGTAATGACGACGGGATTAATTAAGCTGAAGTTGACAGTGGAATCTTCCTTAAGCATAGCACATGTAGTGAACCGTGAGAGTGCAGCGAAAGATCAACACGAGGATAGAAATGGGAAAAGAGATTGAAAAGAGATAGAAGTTTGTCTTTATCCTTGTGATGTTAGTTTTTTTTTTTTTTAAGACATGGCATGTAAGATTTGTTTTGGTTAATGTAATATTATTGTTATGTTTGTTGATAAATTATGAAATATAAACATTATAATATAATTCTAATTAAATAAATTCCGAAAACAGTATTTAAATATAAAAATTATATAGATCAAATTAATATATTCATATAACGAAATAAAAGTGATATGATATAATATAAAACAGCACTAAACATTTGTTACAAAAAAGTATATTAAAGCATTCAGTTAGTGCTATAATATAATGATCTATAATAGCGCATCAAAAACCGCTATTATATGGGGTGACTCTATTATAGCTGGGGCAGAAATAGCGTTTAGAAAAACGCTATTGATTACGTATAATAGCGTTTATCGTGAGCTAAGAATGTGCATTTTTCTTGTAGTGAAACCAACTCGAACCGGGGGTGATGTGGCTCAATCAATCTTCTCCAAATGGTTGATTTTCTAATCAATACTGAATCCAAGTTGAAATTGATGAGTGGATTCTCCAAACTGCAACTTGCTTGCTTACGAACGTGTTCAAGAAACCTCTCATGACAATCACTTGAATTACTTTGATGATGGGAAAATGTTTCTCGATAGTTCTTCATAAAATAGGCATATTGCTAATGAATCTTTACGCCCACATAAAATTGACATATGGTTTGACATGTGGTTCTATGAGCTTGATTGTGGTACGGTCGGAAATGGTCTTCATTAGCCATCTTTACTTTTGGACGTCTTTCTTCGATTCCGATTCGATGTTTCTTCATAAAATATTCCTAATATCAATGATTATCAAATCTAGGTCGAAGAAATGTAAATCTGGGTCGATGATCTTGAAATTAGCTTAACACGGATGTGTCTTCTTGGCGGTCGGGTTGATTGGCTCGGTCGTTTTCGATTCTGTCTCGACCAAAAGTCTTTAAATATGTGACTTTCTGGTGAATATTCAATTTGGGTTGGTAAAACACTACAGGAAATGTGGGTATTAATAGCACAATAAGATAGCGTTTTTTTTGTATATGCTATGTTTGACTGAATCGTGAATTAAAGATAGCGTTTTGTAAATTGTAAACGCTACAGTAAATTGTAATTTGTTTAAGCGGGATAATGAAATTGAGGCGGGCCAATTTTGTGATTCTAATCTTTAATATCCCGCTATTGAAAATCTTAAGAGGGAAAAAGGTGAAATTTTTTCTAAGGCAAAATAAAAGAAAACCTTAAAAATTACTTCTCTTTTTTTTTTGCCTAAGGCAAAAGCAGATCGACAACTTCTCTCTCACTCGATTTCTTGAGATATTGAGATCAAAATCTGCAACTCTCACTCGATTTCTCTCAACCTCACTCGATTTCTCAGTCTCTCCCTCTAATTCTCACTTTATCTCACTCGATTTCTCAGTCTCTCCCTCTAATTCTCACTTTATCTCACTCGATTTCTCATTATATCATCTTGATTTCTCAGTCTCTCAACTCGATTTCGCACAATCTCCCTGGAATCTTCAATATATAGGTATGTTCTCATTCAATCGTAGCTTCTTTGTTATTTGGAATGGAAAACCATTTTGATTTGGGGTTCCGATTCTTGGGTTGTGTGAAGATTGATGCAGAAGTTTGTGATTTTGGGTATCAATTTTGATTTTGGGATTTGATTCTGGATTTGATTCTTAGTTTTAGTGACTATAATATAAACTTGTTTAATTGATTTTTCCATAGTGGAACGACGTTTGTTAGATTACTTCTGATGGTTGATGGTATAAGATTGATCTTGTGAATATATAATTCCTGTTCGAATATCTTGTCTTCTGATTTTTTTTCATTTGCATAATTCTGATTGGATTTTCGTTTTGGTTTAATTTTGATATAGCGAGGATTAAGGTTCACGAGCTTAGAGATAAGTCAAAGACTGATCTTCAGAACTAATTGAAGGAGTTCAAGGCTGATATAGCGAGGATTAAGGTTCACCAGCTCTATTTACGCTGCATCTACTGAAGAACGGTGTGATGGGCTTGAAGCTTAACCATATGAGGAGATTACTAAACACTGAGAAATTGATCTGAAGTCTGAAACTCTCGTGGAGATTACTTCACTACTGTAGGCTTCTACATCAGTTCTATGGTAACTTCTGATCTCCACATGTCAAACTGAGTTAACCATTGACTAGGAATTTGTTTTTAACGGAGTTATTCTGTGTATTACAGACTATGAACTACAGGATGTATTCGAGAAGCCACTTTGTGAAAGGAATGGAGCTGATGGTGCTGCTGATATGTTACAGGCTGTACGGGAAAGCAACAGAGGACTCAGTGGCATATGCGTTTGTGATGGGCTCAACCTGGTTCCTGGTGGGTTCCTGGTTGTTTGATCAGTTCTTTTTCAATCCCTCAGGATTCGAGTGGCAGAAGATAGTTGATGACTGGGATGATTGCAACAAGTGGATAAGCAGCAGATCTTAGGCTTGTAGTGAGTATAGTGCTTGTAATGATACAAGTTTTATGTTGCAAGTGACTATAGTGAGTATAGTGCTATCCGAACTCAATTTGCAACATAAAACTTGTAGTGAGTATAGTGCTTCTTCTGAAGTCTGAAACTCTCGTGGTTTACAGTTTGTGAAGAACAGCTCTTAGGCTTCCCTTAATCAAGCTGGTCAGTGGTGATTTTAGTAGTTTTGTGTGTCGTGGCTGCGTTGGTTCTTCCCCGATTTCTGCCATCTTATCTTCTAATCAAAGATGGAGATCGTGATCGTTGAGAAGAAACATGCTTAATACAGACTGATGGTTGCAAAAGGTTGATGATGCAAAAGTGTGGAGGCCAAATTCAGAAGTAAAGTTCATCTCCGATGCAATAGGCACAATAGTGGCTTGGCCTAATGAGTCTACGTCTGAAACTTTTAAGTACTGTGTTTTATATATCTAGAATAGAATGTTATGTAGAACACTTTGTTTTCTATTGTTGAATGCACTTGACTTTTGATACAAACCACATATTTGAGAATGCAAGCACAATTAAAGTTAAAGTTAAAATCCACATATTTTAAATTCCTAAATTAAATCTCTAAACCCTAAATTAAAATTAAAATCCTAATTAAATTAAATCTTTAAAATCCTATTTAAATTAAATCTTTAAACCTTAAATGAAAGTTAAAATCCTAATTAAATTAAATCTCTAACCCTAAACCCTAAATCCTAAACCCTAAACCCTAAACCCTAAACCCTAAACCCTAAATTAAAGTTAAAATCCTAATTAAATTAAATCTTTAAACCCTAAATTAAAGTTAAAATCCTAAATTAAAATCCAAAAACTATCTAACTTGAGTAAAAAAATCTAAACCCCAAAGTTTAAACCCTAAACCCTAAACTATGCCCTAGTGTTTATGAACATATAAGTTAGATAGTTGGAATACTAACTTATATTAATTGTTCTTAATTTTAAAATTTTATACTTATAAGAAAAAATATTCTAAAAATTGAAATACTTATATTAAATTTTTAAAGAAATAATTTCTATTTTTTTCATTAATAAACTATTTTATATGATAATTTTCTGATTTTTTCATTATTAGCCAATGGGAAGTAACCTCCCAGATTGTGGGACTAATCCTACACCGTTAGATAGCGCCGACTTTGATCTTAGCCGTCCATTCTTATTGTTGATGTGATTAATGTACACCGTTGATCTGTCTTGATAACTTTGATCTGAGCCGTTCTTTTTCTTAGCCAATGAGCATTAACCTCCAGGATTGAACTTTGGCTTATTCTCCACCATTGATGAATTAAATCCAACGGTTAAGATTTTCTCCTTCTTTTCTTTTTTTTTTGGTTAAAACTTCTTTTCCTTTTGCCTCTTCTCTTCGTATGAGAAAATCAAAGGTCCCAAAATCAAACTCTGCGAATCTTGAGCAAGCGTATCGCTCCCTTATCTCCGCTTCCAGAGGTTTATCTCGCACTCTTAGCCCTTCTCTTCCTGAATCTCAGCCTCCGCCACCGCAATTAGAATCCCAATCCCCTTCTACGGTGGTTAGCTCGTTCCCAGCTCCGGTGACGCCGTCGCCTCCATCTCAGGAGGAAATTTAAACCAGAAGCAAGAACAGAGAAGAGATTCGAAGAGTGCATGACTGCTATAAGCGTCTCAAATCTTCTATTGGTCAGAGAGATGGTGGTGGGTGCTCTGCGAATCTTGAGCAAGCGTATCGTTCCCTCATATCCGCTTCCATAGGTTTATCTCGCACTCTTAGCCCTTCTCTTTCGTTCGATTTAGTTTTACCAATTGGATGATTAATTATTTGCTATTTGTCGGAGTTGATGGAATTCGATTTTTTATTTTCAATTCGAGTATTTGTAGTTAGAACATCACCAAGCATATTGTTTTATAGTCTCTTGGCTGGAATTAGATTTCTCAACCATTCTCGAAGCTTGATAAAGCCATGTATATGCTGGTTGTGGTGTTTCTTTGTAGTCCATATCACACTGTGTCAGCTTTTATGTGTTCCTTCCCATTAATGTTACTTGTAAGCCTGTTCTTGTGGGGTTTCACAATCTGTAGACTGTAGTTCCATTCATATGTAAGGTGGGGGTGGTGTGTAGTTATCTGGAAATCATCTATGGAAGGAAAACTAGTGCACAAATGAAATTTACAAAATTTTAGTCCTAAAGAATAGAAGCCTTATAATGAAGTCTCTTGGAGTAATGAGTTAGTTAGTTGCTTATACTTGCAGGCTGTACTAGCGTTAAGCGCCTTGTGGCTGATCTCATTCTTCGGTATGCACTATACTGCCCTACTGCTGTCGGAGATGCATTGCAAGCTGTTATCGACATGCATAACTTCAGCGTGGAAGCTTTAAAGAGAGGACAAGATACTGATGGTGTTGCTTTTCAAACTGCTAAAGCCTGCATATTTGGTCTGGTTGACCTATGTTCTGCTGCTTATTCAAAGACAAAACATCATCACCAGGGAGACAGAGGAGGAAGATGAAGATAGGAGACATAGGGGTAGATGAAGATAGGAGATTTATCGATCTTGTATATTTTTATTGATGTAGTATTTTAATAAAGGTTTTTGTATATATTTCATGTAATAATGATAATAAAATATTGTATTTTTTATTTTATTTTTGATTTAAATACAATTAAAATAATTAACAAAAATAAAAATATTGTAAAAAATATATATTACTGAAATAATTAATCAAATATAAATATTACAGAAAAAAAACAAATTATGAAAATAGGTACAACCCAATCATAACGATTATTACACGTTATTATAAATATTAATAATAGCAACGTCTTAAACGCTATCGTTGTATACTTAACTATTGCACAACGCAAAACCGCTATCAAAAGTGTCCGACTTTCTATAACGGGCGATGTCAGAGCGCTTAAGGAAACGCTATGGTAGATGAATAATTGCATTTTTCGGCCGCTATTAATACCCACATTTCCTGTAGTGAAAGTCTCCATTGGGTTGATGGATTGGAGCTTGGTGTTGTCCGGGTGAGTCATCGTGGACCAACTTTGATTTGGTATGGAGGTTTATGATTCCAACTAAACCATTAGTCTTCTTAGATGAATTTCTATGGAAATATCCAATCGTAAGCCAGTTGCTTGATCAAAACTTGGTTTGAGCGAAAATCCTCCTTTTTGGTCCGACATAGTTTTGATTGATGCTTGAACCAGATTGTCTGGTTAACTTCGGATATTGTTTGGTTCTGACGTTCACATCAATTGAGTAGGTTTCCACAACTCTTACGGCACGATTTTCTCTTTTAAGGGTGTGGCGATGGTGGCGAGCAGCCTTCGACGATCAGAATTTCTAGCCCTCTGTTGAGTTTCTCGGTGTGGTCTCCTCCTTGAGATCGCATCTAGAAATTAGTGTCTCTTCTTCATAGAATTACGATGCGGTGGCAGTAGGGTAGAGATGTACAGTCTTATACGGAAAGTGGCGATAGACGAGCTTCCGGCGAAGGATGAATACCGGATGTAACCTTCTTGGCAACAACGAACTAGCTCGAGGGATGGCTATCGGTTTGCCGAGGTGTTTCATGTCGATGATTCCGGCGACATAAAGTTTTGCTTCGTCCAATACTTGTCATGGCGACTCCGTCACAAGATAGGTGTGGATTAGAGATTCAAAAAGGCTATAGATATGAAAACTCTTTGACAAAAATAAATTAATAATAATATTGTCGTAAGAGCTATGATGGGTGATCAGCCTCCGCGAAAAATTATGCTATACCATATAGGTTGTTTTTTTTTGTCTTGAAGTACACGATCCTAATAATTTTTTGTTTGATATTGACAAATCGAAGACAAAGAAATTAATTTTTCATTTTTCAATGTATTAATCAATCATTTATGAGAGAATTGACATTAATGATTGGAACATATATGATGGTGTATAAGGAGAAGTTTTGAGAATTGATTTGGTTACTTATGTTTTTAAAGTGCAATTATTTTTTCGGTCAAACATATTTTTGGAATTCTAGAACTAAGAGTACTTTGAGGTGGAGCGATTTTAAGATATGTGACATACTAGAAAGTGATTTCCGCTATCGTATGAGTGAGGATAAAACATAAGAAATATAATGTGCTAATTTGTAGAATTGGTAAACAAGTCTTAAAGTCTTCCGAAATAGTACACATGCCGTCGAACGAGTGTGGAGTCTAGAGACTTAGAGAAGATGTAGGATCCACATATGATGGCGGTTAGGGCGTTACAGTGATGTCAAGTAAAAATGCATTAGTAATTCATTTTTATATTTTTGTGGTGTAATGAAATTTTATTTTTAGTAAAGTTTAATTTTGATAACATTGTAGTTTTACTAAGCGTTTGTTTAAAAATAAAATAAGTTGACAGAATTTGTAAATCTTACAAGTAAAATATTTTTGTTAGAAATTATTAAGAAAATGATAAAATCAAATTAACTAGGACTTGATTGATATGTCATATTAACAACAAAATAATGGGATAGCTGAATTAAGAAATAGCGGAATCAATAAAACAAAAATAATTTAAGCTGAATATAAATAACTTTTTTTCTAAAATGCCAAAAAGCTCTTTTCTACAATAAAATTCCTCTAATATAGTTATAATTTTAAAACGTGCGGGATAAATTTAAAAAAAACACTAATTATTTGTCACATTTTATTATTTAATCCAATTTTTGGTGAATAGTATGTATTCAGCAGAATCAAATTTTTAAAATGTGAAAACATGAAAAAGCTGTATACCATTACTTACACTAGGACTCAGGACCCCCGCGATGTCGCGGGGGATTATATTTCAAAAATCATTTTAAAAAATATCAAACGAGAAAATCATAATGAATTGTAATAATTTTGAATTTTTTAATAACAAATCAATATATATTTTACAAAAATTATGATAAAGAAAACTCTCACAAGCATTTATTAAGTATATTAATATTAGAAAAACAATAATTTGTAACTAAAAAACTATTCACAAGTGCAAAAAGCATAAATTAATAAACCAAATATTACAATGGTTTGATAAATAAGCCAAAACATTCAACGTCAAATAAACCAAATGCTATTGTGTTAAATTAAACGGTAACAACAATTCATTTACATATATTTTAGTATTTAAATATTTTTTAAAAATATGACGAACTTATCCGAGAAACGCAACCGTAGATATCAAATATTCCCAAAACTGCAACGGCTCGTCAACTATACCAAATGTTGCAATAGTTCATCAAATATACTAAAGATAACAATGGTTCGTAAAACAAAACCAAAAGTTGCAATAATTCGTCAAATATTCCAAATGTTGAAACATTTCAATTAAATAGTTACAATCTCATTTAAATACATTTTAGTAATTAAAAATTAAGAATTAAAATAATAATTTATGAAAAGTTACACCGAGAGACGCGGCGGTAGATAATTAAATGTTATAAGTATTTCTATATTTATAAAATAAACCAAAAATTGCAATTGTTCGTGAAATAAACTAAATATATAAACCAAAGTTGCAATTGTTCGTAAAATAAACTAAATATTGCAATGATTCGAATAAGCGGTTTCAACTGTTTATGAAGAGTTACAATAAAAAACGCAACCGTAGAAAATATTCAGAATGCAATTTATATATATAAAAAAAACATAACCGTAAAATATATATATATTTTAATTAATAAAAATATTAACGAAAAGTTGCGATAAAAAGACGCAACCATTCAGATGTGCAAATGGTATTTATTAGATTGCTATTATATATAGATTAAAGTGAGAAATAGAGATAACTATTGGAGAATAAACCTTTACTTTATTTTAGAGTAAAAAGTTGAAGCAACCATTGAGAGTTTGAGACTCTCCAAGTATTCAACTCAAATGTTAATTTTTATATATAGATCCTATGCTCTGAACTTAATAGCACTAGAAATTAACCCGCGGTACACCGCGGAACTATATTTTTTAAAAACTATTAAAAAATTATCTTTTAAAAATTATCTATAGATATAATCTATTGTTTTGTTTGATTTAAATATATATATATTATATATATTACCTCGTGGTACACCTCGGATCGATTTTTTATAACTAAAAATTTTAAATTTTAAGTTGTATTTGTTTTGTGAATATTATTTATTTTGTTTAGAGTTTAAAATTATATAATTGTATTTGATTGTTAATTCTAGGATTTCACCCGTAATATACCGTTCCGTATTAATATCGATCCAAACATGTCCCACCATATAACCCCGTCCCGTAAAATTAAATATCATTTTGTTATACTTTTTTATAATATTTTTATTTAATAAACACACAATTCGAGTCAACTTAATAGTTGCTTTAAAAAACATATACAGATGTTGCTTACTATAGGTATAATCAAAATCAGTGTTCTAAAAAGCGGTATAGGCAGTCGTCTAGGCTTCGACTACGTGCTAGGCTCTCATGCGACGCCTAGATAACCGTCTTGATCGCTTTAATGTACTTTTTTCAATTTCCAATTAAGTTTTATATTATATATAGTTATAAATATTTATATTGTTTAATATAGATATAAATAAATGTTTTATTTGTTTTTTGTTTATGATTTCAAATTTTTAGTGTTTTATATATATTTTATATAAATTTTGTACATAATATCACTTTTATAATATTTTATATTACAAACGTTTAAACTGTCTAAAAATCGCCTAGGCCTCAATTAGGCGTTTTAGGTGCTAGGCACTCTGTCACCGCCCGCTTAGCGCATAGCGCTTTCTTGAACACTGATCATAACCAACTAAAATCTATGTTTAGTGTAGATTATGAATTATAATTATGACCAAAAAAATGAATTCCGATTAAGTCAATAATTTTTTGGTGGCCAAGAAAATTTATTTGCAACCTCAATTAAATTATAATCAAATATTTTTAATCTGATTTTTTAAAGGAATATGCAACTAATCCGTTTTTAATACAATCTTAATAGTTTCTATTGTCGAGATAATGAATTCAATATTTTGTCAAGATTTTATGGAAAATAATTGAACATTGAAATTCAGTTCAAAATCTTTACTTAAATAGAGAATATATGATAATTGTCAAGATATTGGGAAATATTTTTGCGATATTTTTGGCAACTATTTAAGTAACAAATCAAAATTTAAAATCTTTACCTAAATAAAACAAATTTAATCTAAACAATTAATACCAATGGCATTCCTCGTAAATACTTTCAAACTCCAGGATGTATTTTATAATTGTACTTCGAAAATGTATATATAGATTATTTTTATTATATATGCATATATTAATAAATACATGTTATATATTACTTTTATAAAATAAATGTACCGTATAGTCAATTGTGTATTTGTTTTTGTTTTGTTTTGTTTTATTTTTATAATGTGTATAACGTTTTACAAATATCTGATTTCTTTTTATATGTATATAGTTTTCAGAGACTAATATATTTCAAGAACCTTACTTTCTTTTTATTAAAGATATACATGGTGCACAACCATAATTTGAATAACACTTAAATATTTAACATAGACTTTCAATGATTTGTTAAAATGATAAATTATACCCTAATTTTAATATAAAATTATTATTTCAATTATGTTAGTGGATTTTGTAATAATTTTAC